CTGAATTAGGAGGGCTGACTACAGACTTACCTGACACTATTTTTCCTCAAGACAGCATATCACTGTTTATCTGTCATAGCTATGGCTTTCATATCCTTATATAACTGTTCTTCCAAATATTTGAAGCTTTCACGTCAGCTAACACATGAATTCTGTTTTGGTTTTCATCATTAGAGCACAAATACTACTCTGTTTTCTTAAAGGGTTTACAGTCCCAAATCAAAGTGTGCATGAACTTTGTCACCTTTAATTTCTAATTTTAGTTTAGAGCTGAGGAGTTCTTCTTTGCACAACAGCAAGTAGTTTATTTCCCACATACATGACTACCTGCTCTCTTTGTGGACTACACAAATAATCTGATGAGACTGGCATCCTTGCTCTAAAACTCCTTTGCCTCAGCTGATCTTGTGGATATTCTGCCTTTAAATTTCACATGCTTTTCTATTTGCTTATGGACCTTCCCTGTGAAACATAGCTACAATGAAAAATAACACTATCAGATTTAAGGATGATATTAATGTTAGAATGCTTGAGCACTCTCTCAAGATCTTCAAAATGGAACATCTGCCCTGCCTCTCCTTGCTGTTTCCAGTGCAGTTTTACTATACAGAAATCTCTCTTTCTAATACTCTTACATAAAAGGGCCAGATCCAGAACTCAGAACTGGTGATAGTTCTCACATGACACACACTCCTCCTTTCCCAAGTTACACAAGAGATAGGTAACTCCATGGGAGAAAATTAGTGTCACACAAAAAATATAAGACTGTATTTTGGTTTTCCTCCAGGTTTCAAACCTTACTTCTTCCACGATAACATGCTGTGTAGGTAAGTACAGAAAATTAAGTCACCCTTCAACAGACAGCCTTCTTTTGGAAGGAAATTAAGAGATTCTCACTGCAACAAGGGCTGCAGATGCCATGATCAGGGTACAGGTTTAATTGACTTTCTATTAAAAAGCCCCTATGCATGAGGCAAACATGAAAGAAAATTAGTATTAGTCATCAGAGAGCAACTAATAGGTTTAAAATAAAAGGCACCTGTCTAAACACACAGCTCCCAGACTGAACAGAAGATGAGTTGTCTTCCAGCCTTCTGGCACTGTAGACCCATCTCCCGCAGCAAACAGATTATTTTTGGCTGAAAGGACTTTAGCCACTGCAGCATCCACTTCTGCAGGCCTAAGTCTCAGGATTAACTGGCCCAGAAGTCCCAATGTTAAATGATAAGTTTCATTTAGGTGGCCCGCGTTTGAGATTACGACCTGAAACATCAGTGGAAGTATTTGTTCCAGGTTAATCAAAGACATTGTGGAGCCCTAAGGAAAAAGAAAAATCTCAGTAAGGCAGGGAAAGAAAACAAGACTTTTAGTCAAAGCTATAGCATACACAAAAATCTTCTGTTCTAATGTTCTTTCAAATGGGACAAGAGGAAATGAGAAACTAGGTTCCTACTTCTGTTGTTGACCTGTTATGCTGATGGGACACATAAACCCGAGCTGATGGTTTAAACTCTGCAGATGTTGAACAGTTAAGATAGACTGCTTTACAGATAAACTAAATTTGCCTTCCCTCTTCCCCCCATGCAAGAACGAGCCCTTATATTCCTTAGTAATGCAAAATGTCTTAAGACATTTGATTTGCATTTGATAACATGTAAGCAACGAGAGCCCATCTCCCACATTTAATTGCTACGAATTTTATTCACGTTATTTGTGATATCTACAAAACTACACAGATTGAAAGTAAGAAGGCCTAACCGATTTGAAAGGTGGTAACATAGCTGCCAGCAATCCTAGAATCCTCTTCTGAGAGCATTCAGCAAAAACTTGCTCCTGGCTAGGTATTAAAACCTTCTCTGCTTGTTTCTGGGCTGAATCCTCCAAGAGGCAGTCATCTCCTTTTTAAATTAAAACAAAAGAAGAAAATCCCCAAAATAACATTAAAAAAAAAAACCAACAACAACTAATAGCTTAATTTTTATAATTACAATCTAAGGATAGAATCCCTTTTTAAAAAGTGTTATTAAAATTTGAAAAGTAAGTCTTTATAAATGTGTATAAAAGATAGTAAGTAAAGAGATTTACAACATCTATTCAAAAGCATAAAGGACAATACTATGAACAGATCCATTTTACTAGCATAATTCTAACAATACCAGTCTTTAATAGAATAAGACACTTAACTTCTGGTTCCAAGTACGTAAGAATTCACAAGTATTGTGTTAGACCGCCAGGACCTATAATCTCTATACATGGATACAGATCAGTGGAATTCTACTACCATTTCTAGAATCCTTTAAGCCGATTGCAAGGTAGCAGTTGTTCCAAGCAGTATGCTTGGCAGGTTTTTACAGAGCAGACAGCTCACTTGCATTGAAGACATTTGCAAATACACAAAAATGGGTTAGGAACAAAAAATACAGCTGTTTGCTTTGCATATGAATGGATATTTCTGTGACAGGGAAAATGAGAAATAATCTCTTACCTGTTGGAGAAAGATTATCATCCACAGACAAGTCTGACTCTTGTCTCAAAACAGCTTTCTTTGCAGAGACAGCTTTGCTTTCACTTCCTTGTTTTCCTCCTTTATCTTCTGCAGGAGACTGGATTTCATTGCGAGCATCTCCTTTCCCCTAAAAATAAAATGAAGGCACTAAAAGATTAAAACAGAACTTAATACCTGCAGAAACAGCCATGGAAAGAAGGTGCCAGTCATCTGCATTTGACAAACGTTTTTCCTCAAATATCAAAACCTTTTATTGGTTAAGAACTTCTTGATATATACATGTCATAAGCTTCCATACAGTGAAAATACATTTTTCTATTTTGCTTGTATCTCCATGCATTAATCTATTACAGTGTAATAGTTTAATACACTGTATAAAAACTGTAGGAAACTCATTCTCCTACCTAAACAGTGCTAACAACTACAGGAAACGACAACCCTTTCAGAAAGAACGTCCTTTGCCCCTTCCCTCCAACGCCTTTGTGAAGCAGTTGCCTGTGAGAACATAAGGTGATGCCTTCATCTTTGATCAGCTGGATCTAATAAAAAAAATGAACCTACTAATAACTGTTCCCTTGCCCCCCAACTTTTACCTACAAATGAAATCACGACTATCCATTATTTCAGTTACATATCCAGAATAGGATGGTTAAGCTTCTGAAGAACACACATCATCTAATTGATATCAGGGGTTCTGTAAATAACAGGTACTTACATTACAATGCATAAAAGAGCCTGTGCTTGGTTTCTCATCTCTTCCCTTCACTGCTTTATCACCAGTATGACTTTTTGGAGCACCATCTGTTGGAGGACTGACTGAAACAGTGTCGTTCTCTGAGAAGGATTCACCTTCTGGTAACATGCAGAGGAGAGCTAAATTTTTCAGACCTGAAAGCAAGAAAGTTATAAAAGCTATTTAGCTGTTGAGTTGCAAGACAGGCAAAAAGCAGAACTGAAACATTTTGAAAGAGAACTGCAAACTTCCCCTCACACACTTCTTTTGAATATCAATTCCATCAAAAAGATGTTCCCCATCATGTTCACTTAATTATGTAGTTCCATTAAATAACACTGTGATGAACAGGTGGTGACATTTTCCACCTCACAGAGACACCATCAGGGCAGAAGTCTTAATTAATTTAAGTAGTGTTAGAGATACCTCCCAACAGTGTAAATTATGAAATGTAAATGAAATTTGTCTTAGCTTTTATTTAATCTTCTGACCACTTAAATATTTATACACCAAAACTGTACATTAATACCAAACAGATTAAATAATGGGTATGCATAAGTATTTGGTAGTGATGGTGGTATTTCAGCTGTATTAGAGCTGCTCAAGAAACACACCAGTAAACTTATTTGAATTTGAGTCTAGAATTTTTGATACATTCAACATGGCCTCTATTGTATCACCCTATTTTCTGTAGTAGGTCTCAGTTCACAGAAATCCTCGTTTCCAGACAAAGGGACATCATCCTCAGAAACCTATCTCATACCACAAATAAGGTTAAAAGAAATCTCTTGCCAAGAGATGCAGAACAAAAAACATTTTTCACAAAGTTATTTGCTTTCCTTCAAGTCCTTCAGTTGTCACTAACTCATTACTAACAGAACATGAAGCTATACTGATTGATCCCTTTACAACATCTAAGATGGAAAAAAACCCCAGAAGAGCTGCCAAGTTGTCTTGAATATTTATGTAAGTATAAAATTAATTTTCTCAAGCACCCTATTTTCCACGTTCCAATGACCCTGAACGACACTTGTTCTACATTTGCTTTCTACATAAACAGTTATTCTCAGCGAAGTACACAGTAGCTTCCCCTTTCCTTTGGAAACTTCAAAGTGAGTAATCACAGACTTTTCTGACACCTGCTAGAAACCATTGTTTCAGTGAAGGAGGAGCTGACTCACCTTTTCCGTGCTGTGCTTTCATCAAGCAGTCTCCGATGAGCTGTATGCACTGATGTTGCAGAACTCTGGCATGACTGAGGACCTGTGAATCTAGTTTCTCCCCTTCTACTTCCTCCCCATTTGCCAGATCTGCACTGTAGAGAGTCAAAGCTGCAAACAACAGCCAGGAATAATTGTGGACATATGGCTGGATGAGCCTCTGTCGGTCACTGATTCGAATAGTCACCATCGGGTACACTGTGATGCTGTGAGTGGGCAAGTGACTGAAAGAAGAAGGTACATAATTTTGAAATACGGCTGCTCTCTTGCCAACCAATGTAGTTAGTAACACACGACACCTTTACAGGAAGCTACAAAAAACCCAACGCGTTCCAGAGTTTCAAACTCTAGACCTGGGTTTTTTTTACGATCTTTGGTGTCAAGCACTGAAAGTGATGTTGTCTAACCACAGCAGTGTTCATTTCTTCTATCCTTTCATTCAGGGTTGGTAACTCTCCTTCGACAACTTTCGGAGCCATGGCTAGGAAACAATTGCTGCTAATTACTACAGATTGGGGCAGGTTTCCAAACCGTAGAAGTTTTTGCTGAACTGGTCCTATATTTGCTATGTTTCCCTGAAGGACACCCACTAGATGTTCTGATGTCAGGTGCAACCTTGCAGGAAGCACCATGAGAATGACTGATTGTACTTAGCTGCTAATTATCGCTTTCCTACCAAGTGAAGTGGGAGAAATAAAAATCACATATTTAATACCTGTCAGAGTATTTCTTTGCAGCATAGCATCCATAGCAAAGGTCAAAGTCATCACACACGTTGCAGTTCATTCTCCGACCTATGATAACTCCTTGACAGTGATCACAGGCATACTCCATGTTAACCATTTCATGGTCATCCTCGTGTCCTTCGGGTTTAACTCCACCTGTAAAGAAACATTTTAAGATTTCCTCATAAGTCCTTTTTGAGAAAGGATCTTTCTGAATTTCAAGTTATGTTCAGATTAGGAAAAGAAAGCTTAACACTTCTAACATATCCAGAAGAACAGTCTTTTGCTTTATGTATAATTTAGAAGACACTATTTTGCCTTTGAGTACAGGGTTTTGAGGTGTTGGGTTTTTTTAAGTGATTCTTACCAAGAAAACAAGTTTTACACAGATCCATGTCATTACATTGCAGACAGCGGTAGCGATGCCACGGTGCAATTTCATCACAGCCATCACAGGATATGTCCACATTTAAGAGGTCACAGTAACGAGCAACAAACATGTGCATCTAGAGCAATAAATGGACACAATTTACTTGAGTATTATTTTCCTGACTTTGAGAAAGCCCTTTTTAGACAGAAAGCAGAACACTTCCTCTGCCAAAAAAGGATGGGGATTGTTTCATCATTTTAGACTTTTGAAGGCCTACAGGGAGTCAGGGATTCAACTCATGAAAACTCAGTTTAAGCCAGATTCCTTTCTCTCCTTTAGGCTTTTAAAAGTCTCCTCTTTACCCCTTCTGCAGATAAATAAGCAAATCATAAAGTCACCTTTCTCTGCTTCTCTGGGTCAGCTTGAGCTATCTTTTCATACCAGGTCTCAAACATTACATCCTGACATTCATCCATCCACTCACAGTTTTGCTTGTAGTCTGCAATTTCGTCTTCTTCACTCCACTGACTAAAAGAAAAGCAAGCTCAAAATTAAGTTTGAATACAATCGGGCTTCCCTCTAATAAAACTCTGGATACTTTTTTTTTTTTTTTAAAGAACAAAGTGCTACAACATGCTAATTGCGAGAACTCCAGTTCACTTGGTTAATAATAACCATACAGACATCTGTCTCTTGCCTCTGTGACAAGTTTTTAAATGCATATGGGGGACTATAATGCAAAATCAGAAAATCCATACTGCTTTTGGCAATGCTGGTAGATCAGATGAGACGTTTTAAAAGCTTTTTGGCCTTCGTATTTGCTCATTTGTAAGAAGTACAACTACTATAAAATTGCAACATGTGGATGTTAAAAACATTTGATATTAATTAAGACAAGAAACAGCATTATCTACCTCCTGCTACGCTGTTAAACAAGTGAAGTGTTCCAGCAGTAATCAAGTTAAAGATAAAATGTTAATAGTTTTTGCACTAGCAATGCTGCAAAAACTTTCAAATACTTCAGTTAGGCCCTTGGACACTGGCCAAAATTTTGCCTTACTTGTTAATAGTACTTATACTGCTTGTTGCAGCACAAAGTTCAGGAGACTTTCTTGGTAAAAATAGCATCAATGGTCAGTACCACGTGAAAGTTGCGTTCTTCCCGACTCACCAAATCACACTGTCATGAATACTTATGTTTTCTTGTGATGTAGCCATAAGAAGATGGGGTAACTGAATCTCAACAAAGAAGGAAAGGTCACTTGGTTCCCAACTCATATCCAAAAGGTGAAGGAGAGTCGTCTGCACACATGATAAGGCAGGAAGCAATGATCTAAATAAAGACACAAGACAATAAAACATGACAGCTCTAACCTAAAGTTGAAATGGCATATTTGGGGAGCATGGACGAACAATCACTGTACACTGATTTCCAGGCTTTACTCTGCATTAAATTAACTATGTGGCAGAAACTCAGGTTTACTAATGCATAAACTCACAGAATTTAGTAAGAAGCGTAGCCCAAACAATTCGAAATAAAGACGCTATCCTCTATGGATCCAGCTGAAACAGAGCTTATGCTGTACCCTGAGTATTAGCAAGAGGGTCTGTCTCTCCTCTGCAGTACATTTTCTTGATATTTGCAGGAACTTGTTCTCTTTGAAACCTTTGCCTTGTTCAGTTGAAACCGCACAGTTTCTTGGAAGTTATTAGCAGGGAAACAAACATTATAGTCACAAAACTCTCATTTCTTTAGGATGCTTGGCTATAAATCCCAACAATTCTAACCAGAATGTTACCAAAACATGAGCTTCAACATTAAAGCATGGTTGCAGAATTGTGTTATTTATTGTGGCATTACTCTTGCCAAAGTATTCCACAATAAATTTGTAATTTCTATTATTTTACTACTAAGCTTGAAAAATTATTGCAAAATTATAACTACAAAATGCAATAAGTCAAGGTTTTAACATTGATGAATTTATTGTCCTTTCCTGAATAGTATTAATAAAAAGATATCTTGGCATTTTTGATCACAAGATCAAGGGTCCTTATTTAGTTCTGTAAATAATGCAAAGTATAGTCAAACTTCATTAAGGCATTAAACAATAAATGACAAATGACATGGGAAGAGGTGAAGAAGAACAGGGGGGGAAAAAAATAAGTCTCACATAAGTAATGCAAACAATGTACTGTACCTGTCATTAATGGTACTAAATCCCTTCACAGAATTTACCAGGAACAAAACAAGCTGGTAGTAGGACTCTCGAATCTCTTTGTGTAGCTCAGCACCACAACCTTCCAAGTTTCCAAAATAGCTAGAAATTGAACACTCAGTTTAGTAGTCTAGAATTCACTGGTACATTTTAGGTAGCAGGCTTTGTGCAAATTTTACAAACAGCCAATTTTCTGAACACTCCCCACAAGTGGAAGGATGCTAGTTTTGTTTAAAATGCAGTCTACCACTTTCAAAGAAAAAGAAAATAATCCTGTACCAGGAATCAGAAGAGACAAAACAGACAAAGAGAATGTTCTTGTGGCACTGGCAATAGAATATTCCTTCAAATTAAAAAGGTGCTTTACAAAAACCTGATCAAGATCTTAAAGGAAATCAGTGCACTGCCAGATGACCATAAAAAGCTCTTGACAAGCAAGAAGACAACTGACAGAGTTCAGACAGCACTGTCCAAACATCTGATAGAAATCTGACCTAAATTCACATGAACCAGAACAGCAGAGTATTAGCTCCTGCTTTAAGATAACACTTTGTAGTTGTATGTGAAACTTAAAAAAAACTTCCAGATTATCTTGCCTTACTTAGAACGACAATTGCATATAAGTATGATCTTTCTGCCTCTTTTTTATCTGTGTATGTGCATGCCCTACAACTGGAACACAGCACTTGCAGGCCTTGGCTGGTACATCCATCGCTTTTCACTCACGTGCCAGAAGCTAATATACCATTCCACAATAAAATTTGTCTTGTACAGGTATCACATCCAAAGTTAGAAACATTCATGCACATGCAAATGCTTGACTAACAAGATATAGCATGTGCCATTCTTGGACGCTAGTTCTTCTATAGTTTGTAAATCAAGATAATACCTAAGTTCATAAAAATTATAAAGATGCAAAGCTATATAAGTAATTAAGTGAGTTAGATCACTGCAGCTTTACTGGACAAGAAACCAATCCAGCATTAGACAGGAACTTAAGCTAAAGCAATAACTACATTCTTTTTGAGTTAGTTGTGTTCTGGTTGGAACTGTAAAGATGTTTCTAGGTATCCACGCTGTGATTCAACTGTGTGATACCTACCAGCATGAATAGCTGTACAACTAAGTCTCACTTGAAAATAATTATTTTATTATTTTTTTTTAAATTAAGCATGCAAGATATGCATAGTAGCCTAAAAACTAATCCTCAAGTCATATTTTTATTATCCACATGGATTAAAAACCAGTAAGTTTCTACTGTTTTCAATACACATGACTGGAAAAACACAAGGACTAAGACATATTATATCACATGGCTGAGATTTGTCTAAATAATTACTTACTTTGTAAAATCTTTCTGACAGGCTAGAAGTTCTAACAGAAATAGTACACATGGTGGATGAAAACAGTGTGGTTGCCCAAGCGAGTCAAGGCACTGGCGGATTGTCTTCAGCACTTCCATAATACTTTGCCCTTGGGATTTTCTCAAAGCAAGAACCTTTAAAACACTAAAAGCAGCAAAAAACATTTATGAAGACTTCCAAATGTTGTGCTTAACACAAATAAATCACAATTCAAGAAGTGCTTGACTAATTAAACACAAGATTGGTATCTAAATTCTCAGCTGTGTTTCAGCAGTGGTATATTGCAGTTGGAGTGAGTGATAAACCTTCCAACAGAATGCAGCACTTCCTGCACCAGTCCAAGTTTTAAAGCCTAAAATAGACAAGCTGAGAATTGGAAGTCTCTCTTTTGATTTACATTTTCAGAATGCAAGGTAATTTAGTGAGAGAGATGCAACTATTCTATATTTGGTATCGAGGATTGCTAGTAGTGATATACCACATCTTCAACTGTTTGTAGATAAAAATTAAAATGCCACTACAAACAGATCTCAGGAAGCAAGACAATAAATCGCCAAGTAATTGGTTTTTTGCATTCTGAAATTCTACATGATAGAAGTGAATCAAAGGAAACAGTACTTTCAATGAGCCCCTACATGGTTGCGAATAACCAAAATTTGATACATGAATCTGACAACTATTCATGTACAAAATGTTTTTCAATACTATCTTGCAGCTAAAATATGTTTTATTCCATCTGAAGAGCAATAAACCTCAAGTTTCTCTATTTTATAGCTGGCAACATTTTCAATTTGCGTACCTTTCATGTGAAAGTGATTGATCCTTAATGAAGTCTAATATGTTTTTCAATATAGGATATTTCTCCTTCACAGTAGGCACAGCTCTTGGCTCTTCCATTGATCTGAAAGACAGCAGCCTTAGTCTTCCACGGCTGAACTGAGATTTTCGTGTAGGAGTGGAAGGAGGTGATGATATATCTTCTTGCTGTGAAGCTGTATTCTCAACAGGCTTACTATGAAATGCAGATGCTTCTTCTGTTTTGAGGGGATCTGGAACTTGTTTAATCTTCGTATCAGATTGTGTCATTTGGCCCCCCTCTTTTGAAACAGGATGAGTTACTCCATTGGAAGGCAATGAATGTGCTGCCTGGAAGTCTGTGTCCACAACAGAACCTTTTCTTTGGCATTTATCACTGACATACTGTTGGATATCATCAATGTCTTGGGCTTCCAAACTGCCTGAAGCAGAAACTTTCGTCTTTGCTCTTACAGGCAAAAAATTCAGTAACAGAAGGCTCTTCTGCATACAAAGTTTTGCTGCAGCATAAAAATTGGAAGAGTTAAGGTCTTGACAATACAACGCCAAACTTGCTATCTTCTGCTTAGGAAGAAAGTGATTTATCTTATTCTATCTGAGCCAAGATAGCTAGAAAATACTGTTTTTCTTGTTATATTGATCATGACGCTATCAGTTACTTAATTCTAGATTTCCAAATGCTAAATTGGAATAATCACACTGAACCACATGAAGCATACAGTAGTCAATGAGAACACATTTTATTCTTGTAACAATCAGCTGCTATTCTAACACCAGTTAATTGTGGTAACAAGTATCTACAAAAAATAGATGAACATAAGTTCAGATCCGGGTGACCCAAGCGAGAGGTCACTCCCCGTAGAATTTTCTCATGTACTATTTTCTGCAAAGAACAGCAGAACACAATCTCAGATAGTTCACATAACATACTCTAGTTTACCTCCTAAGGCATTAAAAAGTAACCCCGGTTGCTAACTTACCTTTTACAGCAAAAATAATGTCTAAGACTTACAAGGCAATGCTTTACTGAACTACTTGGAATGCTTATACATTTGGAAAAGCAACACTTACCAAGAGTTTCTGGGTTCACCTCACTCGCTTCTGCGTTCTGCTTCTCCTCAGTATCATTTCCTCTACCCATCAGGGATTTCTGCTTCATTTCCAACTGTAGACAGGATGTTAATATAGTTAAAATATGACTCCACCTGTATATCTATACAGCAAGGCAGCGTGAAGACTGCGTCACATTAAAGGAATTTAATCTCAGGAGCAGATGACAGTATTTACTATTCCTTACTGCAGAACAAAACACCCAGAAGTCTGAATGTGCAATACCTAAACTATCAGAGCAGGTAACACAGCCTCATATGGAGATGCTCAAGGTGTGTAGGCTGAGACCCCTCCCTGTCTTGCGATTGGATGCGCATCAGCCTTCCAAGAAAAAAGAAGGCTTCCCCTTTACCCCCACCACTCAGGTAAAAATATACATCTAGTCATGGGATAAGATTCTCCAACAGCATCATGTCATCTAACTAGTGAGTACTGTCAGGTGCAAACATCACCCATCACACAATGGGTACAATGCAATTACTCATCTTAACGTGCATCTGCACATATAGCATCTCTAGTGTATCAAGCTACCAGGAATTCTTGCAGGCAGGAAAGAGGAGGGAGGAGGTCACAAGATACTGCAACAGTTAATTTGGCTGGCCCACATCTGACGGGCTCACAAAAGTAGCAGAAAAGCAGGCCATAGACTGAAGTAGCTGTTCTCTAGGCCATACAGCTGTTAACAGTTAGAATTTCCTGCAGACCAGTGAAATCTAAGTGAATTTTGGTGCTCTACAGCTGCAGGTGATGACGCAGACTCCTCTCACCAGGTTGTGAGCTGATGACACCAGCTCTTGACATAAGACTTATGTTTCAAGGAAAATTACGCACAAAAAACATACTCTCAACTGAAGCCAGTTACTTGCTTGTCAAAGAAGCAATTATTTCCTTTTCTGTTAGCACTGCATTACTGCGAGAATGATGTCTAAGACAGATTTCTTTCTATGCTATACCTCAAAAGAACTCCAACTGCTATGTAAGAATCTTCCTAACTAACAACACCCATTCTTGCTGAAAAATAACGCAAATATAATTGATTTTGTGTCAAAGTCTGTCCTAAATTCTCATGATGACACATCTGGGGCTGAGGGAAGGAGAGGAATGTAAGAATGCATTTAAATTTTTAAGTTTGAAGTTTAGAAGTGAATATATGTTCTTCCTAAGTGAAAACAGTTGATCTAGAAACACTGAAGGAAAAAATGGTTTCACCCTACTCCTTAACATCGCATTGTAAAATATTAAGGTAAACGACATTAACAGATATCCTCCTGAGTGATCTTACCATCCATATTCTAATTGAATCAGCCAGGGAATATACTTGTGCAAACTCATCACTCAAAGGCACCTTGCCTCCACTGTTGACTGGAAATGAAAGAAAGAAGTCCTGTTTATTTACAGCTCCATTTTTACACAACTTGACTACTTAACAAAAATTATGCTAGAGCCTTCCCTTCATCTCTTAGTCAATACTTGGAATTCTGCCTGTAGGACAAACATGGTATAAAAACTGCCAAATTTCACATGCCTTAAATACATAAGCTGCACCTTGACCGAGTTATTTGGAAAGTTAAACGATGAGTATCTTTCTCATCTCTTCCCAAAACTGACGCCTGCAGCCATGGAAAATAAAAACCTCTCTGTTACATTAAATATTACTAATTAGCAAATACCACTAATGCAAATTGATATCAGAATCATCAAGAAATGCTTAGTGTTAACTTAAGGTTCTATAGATGTATTTCGTTATCAATTTTTTCCCCTTTTGTTTTATGCTATGAATTTCTGGAATGGACTTTCAAGACCAATTTACAAAAACTAAAGACCTGACAAAACAGTTTCCATCAAAACTGGCCTAACAATGACTATGAAGAAAAAGACATTCCTATTCAGGGTCTTCTCTCTCCCATTCCCCCTTTTTATTTTTTTTTTCCTCCTTTTCAGCACCACTTGTACATCACATGGCATAGGTGATCATGGGTCCTGAAATTAGTCTGCCCCGGCAAGACCGACAGATGAAGCTATTAACTAATAGTAGGATGGATATCTTACCCACTCATCAATATTTTCCTGAGCTCCCGGAGTGCTCAATCTTACTCAGAAAATTAGATGAATTGTCAGACATAGACAAAATGACTAAAGGCAATAACAACTTTAGTCATCAAGTCAGTCTTTGTGTCAATCATTTTTACCCATAATTTATAGCTCAGAATAGAAGATGTTTAGCTTCAAAATTGTGACAGAAAGTGAAAGCCTAAAATGAAACCCTTCAAAACCAAGTAACACCTTATCATCCAATACTTCAAACATATCAATAAGCTTCATGGAAGGATGGTGCAAGTCAAAAAGTTGTTCATTTTACCTAGTGAAAATATATAAATTGTAATACAATGGATATTATATAAGTTAAAAGCAAAACATCACCTTTTATTTTAAAAAAGTAAAAAATATATTTAAAACTAATATTTATTTTGAGGATGCCAAAGTTAGTTTCCTCAGTATAACATTTGGGAGGTAATTCTCACCTCCTCCCTCCCCATTTTTAAAAACATATATAAGTTGGTGCTTGCTTTTTAGAAAAAATACAGTGAGAGTGGAAAGTGATGGAAGAACCTCTAATCACTTGGAGCCACACTGTTCTGAATTAAAACCCCGGAGGACATCACTACTCCCTTTGGGTATATCCTTATAAGGCTTAATCAGTAGCTTATGATGGTTATTAATATTTAGACAGAGCTCTGAAGATAAAATCATATATTAATAAAAAAGAAACACTCTAGAGACAAGGCTTACCTAGTCTACCTAAACAATGACTTTTTTATACAGAATTTTTTTTAAAAATCACACTAAACTAATTTTTCAAAAGTTTACAAACTGAACTATAAGACAGCATTTTACAAACTTTAAGTCTTCATTATTAAGATAGTCTAATATTAGAGTTACCATATTTTTGAAGCTTCTCATATAAATCTGGAGTCAGATACACCAAAGCAGCAAATGTCGAGTTCACAGCTTGATCAACAGTTGAACCAGCAACTATATCTGTCTTTGGGGCCTGTTTTTTACATGCCTGTATAAATCCTTTGAAAAGTTCAGATTTTTGCCCGCTAAAGTCCTGGGCAGGATCTGATTTTGCAAAGTCAATAAGAAAGTTACGGCAGTCATCTTGGTGACAGCTCCTAGCCTGGAAAGAATGTTAGAAAACATTTATTTTAATGTTATCTGAAAAAATCATTGCGGTTCTTTTCTACAACGAAGTTAACTTGCAGTATATCTGCTGCACTTGAGCAACCTGATCTAATGAAAGATGGCTCTGCACAAGGTGGGGGGACGACGACGTGTGAATTAGACTGTCTTTGAAGGTCCCTCCCAACCATTCTATGAAAATAGAAACTAATAAAGGGCATAGAACAACAGTTTCTTTCCTCCTTGGTATTTGAATTAAACAGCGCAAGTGATGACAACTTTAGCACAATAGCATATGCTTAAGGACGTACGAACTAATTAAGCCTGGATGAAACAGTGTGAAAACATCAGCACTTCAGGCCAATGAAACACAAGTAGCGGTGTAAGTACCTCTTTTTTATCTTGGTGCAGTCTACGGCTCTGACTGGTTCCCGGGAGTGTCTCAGGACACATCTGGTGCCTGAAGACAGGTTTCCACAGAGGAGAATTAAGAACTGATGTTACTTTCAAAGGAGGCAAGTCTGCATCACTACCTAGTTCTGCAAGAAATTCAGAACAGACATGTCCATTACTAAATACTTTTGTTCATTTTTACAGATTAATGAAAATAAGAAATGTTAAACATCCAGTAAGGGAAAAAAAAATGCAAATAGACTGAACAAGTAATATAACAACATTCTCTAACTTCTGTTTCGCTAATGTGGTGCAGAAAAACTACGTACCCTTTCTTTAATGATAGCACCAATATCTTACAGTGACAGCACCAATATCTTACAGTGACAGCATGTTACATTATGGAAGTAAACATTTTTGCTGTACTTATATCCATAGAAATTCGTGAACAATTTGCAACAGAGTTTAAAAGCTTCTTCTCCTATAAAAGACATGATAATTTGCTATATGTAAGGAAGTTCATACTAAGGAGAAAAACATTCTATGACAAGAACATTTCAATTACTTCCATAAATCCACAGGTAAGTACCTGTCTAATTTTCCAAGGTAAGTACTGACCACCTGATTGCAGCAAGAACTCTTTTAACTTTGCTTAATTTCTCCAAAGTGGTGAATGAATTCAGATTTAGTAAGCTAGCTAGAAGTGTTCTTGTTTTGAAATTAAACAATAAACAACTCTTTTTTTTTTTTTTTTTCCTTATGGCACCCATCTCACATTTTGTATTTTACTTCTCTTCAGTGGCCCAAACCTTAAGTGTGCTTAACTTTGGGAATTAGCCAAACTTAATTTGGGCAAACTCTGAAATTGCTTCAAAAATGTAATTCAGCTTAGTATGATTACTTTCAGGTCCCATTTCTTCTTAATATTGGCTTCTGACTATTAGAAAAATCAGTGATCCCTGGGACATTTTCAGAGTAGTCCTGCAGAAGAGCGATCAAGCTTGCTGCACAGAGGCCACAAAAAACGGATACAGCTCAACGGCCAAATGCCGTTACGCAGCAATGCAACAAGCCTTCCATTGTCAGTCAAGAAGGACACAGAAGGAACTTTATTTTCACAGGGGATTTGAAACATAAGGTCCTCGTATCTTCTATTTATATGGCAGCACAATTTCTGGAGCTGTTAAGCGCACTCACCTCGTAGAGATTTCAGCGCCATACTTCGGGAAGCCAAGCGCCCCATCAACCGGGATACAAGAAGCTGTAAATCCAAGCCCCAAGAAACGGCAACATCTGGTAGGCCATAAGCAGTGACGGAAAACTTGTAGCCCCACTCATTATTACTGCTGTCAGAGTGAAAGAGAAACTGCAGCCGTGGGCCAGCCTTAAAGGTCACTTTCTACAGAGCAACAAAACAGTCATTTTGCCAAATGTACATGACAGGAAGACGTTTCAGGGTAATGAATTTCCTTCAGCAACTGTGGTTTTTTAGTATTACATTCTGTTCATAACAGATCTAATTTCCCCCACCATCTGAATGAGAAACCCACAATACTAAGCAGATAAAATTTCTATTCAGTAGCTTAATGAGAAATTTCATAGCTGATTGAGCTTTAGAAGTCAGAGCCATAAAGCAATAGAGGAACATCCCATTTGAGTAGGTGTCATTGAAGAAGGCGTAACTGTGGGAAGCACTATGCTTGTCTCACGATGTAAAACAATTGTGAGGACAGAGTGTCAATAAGTTTTACCCATGTAGTTCCTGGCAGTTAAACATGATTATTATTTTTCATTTTGACTAACTGCTCCTTTGATAACAGCAACAAAGAGGAATTCTTTACTCATTCACTCCTTTTATTTGCATCATTGCAGACTTTCTTCCCCACCTCCTGCCCCCCCACCTTTGAGAGGGAATAAACACACACACATGGAAGCACACATGCTTTCAGAGAACAGTTTTTCCACAATAACCATAAGAATTTCATAAGACTGGATATATCACTTGGTTCAGAATTTTAAAAGGTGCTCACCTTAGGCCACTTCTCAGTGCCAACCTTTGTATCGTAACGAGTTTTAGCACCTCTGGCATCGGTAAACTCCAGGTAATCATACCTGTGAAAATTGCAATTCATTACCTCCAAATTTACTTTTTAAGTTTTTGGGGAAAATGTCTGCTTTTGGATTTTCACAAGTGCTGCATCTCAGAGTGCTCTGTCACATCTTTCTGAACCACACCTGCATTGCTTCACGTGACTGTTAAGGAATTTATTTCATGTTTCAATACAATAGTCCCAGCAAACACAGACCTGCTTTCCTGCAGAACTTTCCCAACCCTTCAGAATTGGTAATGGGTGCTAATTTTAGCATCTGGCATATGCTTTAACTAAGCAGTAGCTTGGTATGTTACGAAGAGAAACCAAGCCAGTAGTTTTGCCTAAAGAGGGCAAAATAAATACCACAAACACAAACTGTGGTGGTCACAGCAGTGTTACAAAACAGATCAAGGCCAAAGGAAACAAAGTTCATACCAACAGCATGTCTGTACATTTGCCAGGAGAAGTGGCTTTCAGCACCAGGAGTCATTCAAAGTAATAGACTGAATACTATGCAGGACAATGAAGAAATTGAAATGGCATGCTTGGAGTGCAAGAAGTATTCCTTGCAGATTGAAACATGAATCGCTCCTCTGCAAATAGATATTGGAATCTAACACAGCACAAGATTGAATTACCTCCTTTCGGTTTCACATTTCTCATCAAACTCCACCTCAAAGTAAGTTGCCCCATGACATAGGAAGACTGAGACCTCATGGCAATTATTTTCATAATTATGAGGCGATTCCATTGTCCACGTTCGCAATACTACAGGCTGCTCTTGCTGCCAGCTTTCCATTTCCATCTGTAGAACAAAAATACACACTTCAGATACAAATATAAAGCATTTAAAAAAATAAAAGTTACCACACTAGATTGTCATGTCTATACTTTCAGTCTGCCAGATGTACGTACAAAGTGGCATTTAAAAGGCTACAGCATTGGTTTACACCTAAACTAGTTATAAAGACACCCTTGATAACCATGGTAAGGAAGCACTTCTAAAGCAAAATTAATCTAGTCTACTGGAGGAGGAGACAGTCTCACCCTTGAAGTGCCTACAAGTCTCCAGTGATCACAAAGAGAGTCTAGATGACAAATATAGATTTAAACATCTACACTACAGACATACAGACTTCATTTGCATCACCACAAGCAACAAAGCTAAAGATGTTAAGTGCATACTATTTTTAATTTATTTTCCTCTTCATCCTCAGAATCCCTCCTTCCTATCTACCTTCTAAGGTTCTCAATCCAGTTGCACTTTCTGGTCACTTTGCTCACCTTCCATATCAGTACAGATATATTTCTAGTTCTTCACTGAACATTTCATTACACACCCCATGCTTTTAGAAGTTTTCGAGCTCCTTTCAAACACTCTTGAATAGAATCACCCAAGTTTTCTATGCCTTTCTTGCAATTTTGCTTTTGTTTCACTGTACTTAACAGCACCTAGATCTTTAGTTACCTTATGAGGCTCACTACAAAGGCTTTTCAATGGTTCTATCAAAGTGCTGAATCCCTGTAGCAGAGTACAGTATGGAATGTCTAAAGTGCAAAAATCCAACAAGATGACGACCTAGGAGAAAACACAGGTCTCATGAAAATGCAAGTAACCACAGCCATGCTACCAGGGAATAGTACAAAATCCCAATGTTCACTTACCAGCTGACGAGTTGCCATAGCAAAGACAGAGTTACTTATTTTTTCTACTATTGTTTTGCCACTATATTGAGATAAAAGTGACTGCAAAATCGTTCTGATATTTGACAGGAACTGGCCCACATCTAAAGAGAAAAAAAACCCTTAATAGCCACCTTAAGGATTTGCTACCACAACCTGCTTTATCAAACACTTAAGTGCATGGTGATGTGCACAAGACGACAGCAGGAAAGGCATCTGCTGTCCCAAGGCAGTGACACTCAAAAGTGAAAACAGTTCAGAGGAGTTTTCTGTGATATGTCAATTGTGGAAACAAGTAATGCTTATCAATAATATTTAAAAAAAAAAAAAAAAAAGATGAGTGACAAGTAATTTAATCAAACACCCCAAGATTGTTTCAACAATCTCAGTGTATCCAGTAGGCTCCCTCCACAACTAAGAAATGCGGCTTAAGTAACAAGTGAGGCTAGTAATTTTTATCTATAGTCTTACTCTGTTTTTAAATGTAAGAAAGGGACACAACAAAAACTTATTTATACACAAATAACATAAATATGAAGTAATTTTACATAAAATTACATCTCTGTCAAATACTTGACCCAATTAACTACTCAGCTACTGAGCTGCTGCATTAAAAAAACCCAACCAATCAACCAGTGTAGCAAAACACCCCCTAGAAATGTCCAGCTTCTTAAGTTCCTTTCTTCTTGCTATCACAAACATCTAGAAAAAATACATATCACTACACAGGAGCTTATCAAAATAAGGGCCATTTAAAGAAACCAAAATGTTCACATGAAAGTCTGTAACTGTTTGTTGTTTGGGTGTTTTGGGGTTTGGGTTTGGTGGGGTTTTTTCAGTATTTGACCCCAAAACTTAGTGAAATATTTTCTAAGATTCTCACAAGATAAAATCATCAGTATGGCTAAAATTCGAAGTTACTCAATATGCCTACAAATTCCTTCCTAGAGAGATCAGAAGTGCTATGACAGTTACGAGTATGCCTCAGGCAACCACAGGTACACCCTCATTACACTGCAATTCACAAAATCACATTTTAAACTCCCGTATTATACCACACTTAATTCCATATTCAATCCCAGCACTTACAGTTTTTAAGTATTTCTACAGCAAGATCCTTGGCTGAATTATCGCTACCCTTAAGTTGCAGGTAGCACCATGAAAGCAGGCTACCTTGAACAGACCAGAATAAGGAAGACAAGACTGTGCCACTCTCCTGCTGTGCAACATCCAGCATCATCATTTCACACTGAAAAATAAAGAATGTAACAAAAGGATATCCTCTTCTGCTGTAGGATGACACACAATATGCACTAAGTAAACTGTGATGGACATTATAATCCCCCTCGCCTCACAAAAAAGATCAACTGACAAGTAGCTTATAACACCATGAAGCAACTGATATATTTTGTTTTGATAAATCCCAATTTTAAGTAGGAATAGTTACATATGAGTCACTCAATGTTCTCAGCACGTTTTTTCTGCATATGTAAATGACCCTCCTCCATTTACACCTCCCTTAGAGGCATGACCTAACCTCTCAATATGGAATGTTACTTCTGTTTCCTAGTGTCGATAGGGTGCCATGAAGTCTTTTCAGCACTATGGAATAATACCTCATCTTACACGTTACATACTCTGCTATTATGAAATGTTAATGCTTAAAGGAAAAGGCTTCAAATTGGTTGGAAAACGTAATCCTACAGACATGAATAGCCATGAACAGTTTTATCCAGAAGGACAGGAAAGCTAGTTCTTTAGCACATGTCTCAGACGTGCAGCTTGTGTTTGAATGCATACAAAAATCCCGGCAAAGAAGTAGGAAGAGGAAGAGTGCAAAGACAGTTACCTCTCTTGCCGCCACTAGCAGAAGGGTATCCATGACTGATAGCACTTCACTTATGTCAAAATTTGCTGAATCTCCTTTCTCTGGTAATAACAGGAGTCCACCTGGATCCTGATCACTAAAACACAAGGATCTTCTTACTAACCAAGAAGTAGCACAGTTCCAAAACACACATTTAGTTAGCCTTGTGACAAATCTGTAGAGATCTTACTATATAATTACTATGAAAATCAAAAGTTTGGGTTCTGATGACTCCAGACTGATTAAATCAATACCCAACCATCACCACGGACAATCAATCACTTAAAAAACTGGATGACAGTCAAGGAGAAACCTAAGAGCAATATACTGTGATTTCAGCACCAACCTTGGACGTTGGTTTATATAAGCTATTCAGTTAATAAACATATGAAGTAGTAGTATTCTCCTTTATAAAGCAAAGTCAATTGATTATTTTGGAGAATTATTTTCCAGGGGAATAACATTTCTAAGAAGGATTAAATATGAACTTAGTAACAGATGTGGGGTATCAAACAATTATTTTCCATTTCAGGACCCCTTACCTGAAGTGGGTACACAAGGATCTGAAGGCAAGATGTACAGATTGCTTATGTTCTTGCTCTGTGATGTTTTTCTAGAAAAGGAAAAAGATTTATTTTTATGATATGTTGTTTCCCTCCTCTGTGAGAAAGAATTCTAATTTCTGTGTTCTACTATTCATTTTTGGTAAGAAAGGCAGGGTTAGCTCCTCTTTCTTTGGGTAAGCTGCAGAGAGAGAGAAGGGGGAGGGTAAGAAGAGGCAAAGAAAAAAAAAAGAAGGTTTTTACTTTAATAGGACAAAGTATACATTATTGGACAACAAGAACTCAGATTTGTCCTCTTTTCTGCATAAAGAAAGCAGGTACTAAACAATCAATTTCTCATTTAGCGGTTTACCATCATGGTGAAGAGCTGGTGTCGCCTGGTCTGTCTATCTGGGAAAAAGATTGCTGCTCCGCTGAGTAAGGTGTTCCTAACTTCCTCTTTTAGCATTTTCATTGGCATGAAGTTACTGTCTCGCATATCCACTACTGCTCATAGAAAAAGGAAACAAAATTACAAGTTTAAATTAATACTCCATTTAATATGTTAGAGGCATAACTGAATTAAACGTGTTCTTTTACACAACTTCAAGCCCTTGCAATCCCATTAAACACACAGAAAATGAGGGGAAACTTTCTGACTTCCAGCAAGAAAGATTTTTCTAAGGATATATTTATTCAATGAATAAATTAATTTTAGGAACATTAAGACCTGACAACCATCGAAGCTAATAAAGCTTTCAAGATGTGACAGATTCTAAATAAACTGGTTTAACTCTAGCTTGCTTTTCAGGAGACTGTTAGGTAATTAACAGAAAAATTATACTTGAATAAAGAGAGTACTTCCAATGAAATCTAATGTGTAATTCCCGTTCTCTTCACTGGCTCCAGAACCTTCCCTGCGTTTCTGTAAACCTTACAGGCTCCTTGTAAGACCATTTATATTTATATGAAATATCAGAAATAAGTGAACCCCAGTAACATTACAGTTAAAGGATCCCATTCCCTGCCGGTCCAAGCAGGTGATGTGTTCAAAAGAAGTTTTCTGTTGCAGGTGTTTCCAGACCACATGTTATCGGAAAGTCTATAAAACCATTTCATAGGATCAAGGAAAGTTTCACTGATACACTAATTAACACACACTGACCTGAAGAAGAAACAAAGCAACAGTAGCTGACTTGGCCTTTCGAAATAAATACCTTTTCCCAAATTGTAACTATTGTAACGCACTTGTAAACCAGAACGGACAAAACAGTTAATATATTCAATATAAATTACCTTCACACAGATGTCTATAAAGCTCTTCCGCAGCTTCTGTGTGACCAGATGTTTTGCTCTGAGAAGTTTCTTGAGGTTTAGCAGTTTTATTGTCACCAGTAAGTACAGAGAAGCAGCTCTGGAGAAGCTGCAATAGCAGTGTTTGAGCAAAGATGCATTCCTCCCTAGGGCTGTAAGAAAGCACAAACCAAACAGAAGCAAAAATTAGAAAAGAAGCTCTTTTGCACCAAAGAGATAATGCTATGAAAGTCACTGTCTCAGATGGATAAAAAACACTTAGTAGAGAGCACATAGCCAAAAAAAGTATCGCTATCAGCTAAATTAATCTACATCTCAAGCTTCTGCATAACATTATAGCTAAAAACACATATGGCAGCAGTAGGAAAATGTTATTTGTGTAAATGATGTAGTTTAGGAAGAAGAAACTGCTGTAACTAAACTAAACATACTTTATTTATACATACACAGAGATTAGTGCTTCATCACACAATAAAGAAGTGACTTACTTTTGGTGAAGTTTACTGTAAAAATTCCAGAACAGCTGCAAATCAAGGCCTGTGAAATCTAAAAATGACTTGTATTTTAATCCACTCTCCTTCTGTTGAACCTTAAAAAGGCAAAGAAAATGCAGGATTGGAAAATTAACTCTATACAGAACACAGTTGTAAGAAGTAAATCCCTGAGCGCCAGGCTTAAAGCAGCCTAGTTTCATATAAATTTGCAGCTAACAAGAATTCCAGTATAAGTTCTTTCATGGATATTCCAGTGTCTAAACGTGACAGGTCATGCTGAAACCTCCCCTTCACAGAGCTACTAATAAGGACTCTCTCTCCTCTTTCCAGATGCCTAGTCCCCCGTCCCTATCCTCCACCACCAAAAGACTTTACAACTTCAACTTCTTCATCTAAGTTGATGAAGGTAAGTAATGGCCAAAAGGAGACTGCCTGTGGTTCAGAACTGAAGTGGAAAAGGCACAGATGCATGCGCCGTATGAACAACACATGCTTTTGACATATATCCTCAGAATATCAGAACATCACGCTGACGTACATCAGCACACACCAGCCATATCTCTTAGCTGTATATGTCTCACCCTAGATATTTACAGAATTATTTCAGATAAAAAGAGGACATGTTATAATCTATGCAACTTTTCTAGCTACTTCTCTACCCACTTTCCCCCATGCCTGCTTCAGAAATAGCTACATTATCTATTAGACGGTAGAGCATCCTCCTGTTGCATGTACTTCACCCAGCATCATAACCTGATGTTGAAAAATGGTTCTGAACGCTCTTCTAGACTCAAAGTGAGCATATTCCTAGTCAACTTCAGCAAACATACACAGAATGCTATTTTTCAGAAACCACTTTTTTCCCCCACAGCATGTTTTTAACAGTTACCAGCACTAGTAGCAAAACTTTTCTTTATCAATTCACACTTAATGTTAGCATAGCCTTATTGTTTTCAGCATGGTAAATACACACTTAAAAAAAAATAAGAAGTAAAAATACCAGGTCCTGTGCCAGCTGCTGGATGAAATGAAGTGTCTTCAGGAGAAGAGTTGTGCCACAAACAGTATCATCATCAGTTTTCCTGCACTGCAAACAGTTCATGCTCCTATTGGGCTCATCTCGCATAGGCCGAAGGTAGCCAAGAACATTCAGGCCTTGAACCCCGAGCCGTTCTGCTGTGTCTTGTCTCGTGCACAAGAACTTTATCATCAAGTACTAGAAGGATATAAACACAGCACAAGATTTAGTTTTAAAAGTTAGTACAAATTTAGCTTTTAAAAGGCATGAGTGCACATAGGTGAAGAGACTGCAGGTGGGGTGGGGGGGAGCAACCCTTATTCCCTGTCAATCACCCCCAGAAGTTTAAAATACTGAGCCTGAGATTGAAGCTAAGCTTGAACTCTCCCCATGTCCAAAAAGTCACAGTGATGGTTCTGTGACTTCTGTGAGCATCTGCAAAGTTAGTTAGTTCATTATCAGTTCTATTCATTCAGCATACTTTGTTCCCTGGCTCTATAGTTACAGCATTTTTGCAGGTTAAAAAAAATTATTAGCTGCATTTAAAAGCAAGCAGAGGAGCAACATGTAATATTTAAAACATACTTTCATGCAATCTGTCCACAGTGAGGTACAGAACGCAAAGCTGAAGGGAACAACAAGTTCTGCCATCCAAATGTACTTAGTAACTCCGCACACTCATAAGTCTCAGGGACTAGGGGTTACCGACAACAGCAGAACGTCTTAGCAAGCAGTGACGGTTTTAGAAAAACTCCCAGTTGACTTGTAACTGTGCCACCACTTCTGCTAACTTCCACAGTACAAAAAAGGATTGGGGAACTACGCAACAGCTGACTCCAGAAAGAAGAGAAATGCAGGGTCTGAAAAGCAAAGTTTCCTACGAAAGCACTACAAATGAAAACCTGTATTCTGCCACTCTTGAAACAGAAAAGTCCCACATTCCTCAAGGAAATCAACCTAACTGATGGAACTGCTTAGTAATTGTTTGTCCCTTAAAACAGGGGTTGAAGAACCTGGCTCTGAAAGAATAAGTGCAATAGCTATGCAATAGTTAATTCATCAGGATATTAGAATAAAGCAACAATCATATCATCCTTTTTAAAAATATTTCCTCGTGATAATTCCAGCAGTCTGAGCATTATCATGTAATTTTGCGTTAAATTTGATCCTGAAGCACCATTTAACTACAGCTATATATGTGTACATACAGAGAAAAAAAGAATAAAACTCAGAGGACAAGAGTCAAGTCATTCATTTAACTAAAAACTCACCAATTTTTACCTCTACCCAGAACAGTTCTCCTTGCACAAAAAAAGAGTTATGCGTATTTCGACTGACATTACCACAAAGTGCAGAGATGAGCCTCCGCTCACTCTGACCGGGCCAATGGATTTTCATGGTTTCTTACTTGGGAAATTCTGCATTGTTGCATTTTGACGTCAACTTCATCCCATTCTTCTTCCACTTCAAACCAGCCAATAGGATCATCATCCCCCAAATCATCACAGGAACAACTGCTTCTGTGTATAAAAGAATGTAACAAGCTTTGTAAAGAAAAAGTTTAAAGAAACTGCAAAGCTGTTGATACGCTACCAAAATATTATTTGCATGTTATGGCTATAAAGATGAGACACAGACAACAGAAATTTTCACAAAGCCAAACTCTAGCACATGCAAGGTAAAAAAATTAAGGAAATCTTTTTAGTCATGGTCCTTAACCTCCCCATACTCCTAAGCAACAGTTTTGAGAAAGTAAATTAATAAAGGTTAATTAACATATGATCTTCCTATAAATTGTTTCTGTTATCAGCAATCTGCACCTTAAGTAGAAAGTCTGTTATATCCCTTTTTTAAAAGGGCTTTAAATCAAGAGGCTGAAGACAACAGGTATATACATATTTCTTCAAACACATCAAATTGAGGCTCACTAAAATCAAACAAGTAACAATGAAGTGATGCATAATTTTTAAGTCATTTGGAACAATTCGCAGTAGTTCAAGTGGCATTGCAAAAAGATCTAATGTAACATTTACTTTCCATATATTCCTTACAAAAAGCCCAACAATACCTGTTTTTTAAAAATTGTTTGAATTCCTGCAGCTTCCATTTGTCATAGCTTTCAAATCTTTTGAAGTGTTCCTCTGCGTGGAACTTTTCCGAAGCACTATTATAAGCAAACACCAGCCCGCACTGGGCCCCAATGGCGCCTCTTCGGACCTAAAAGAGCAAATCCAGAGCAATATATTAAAAAGTTGACCATAAAAGAAGGTGTTGCTTTCACAGAAAAAAAAGTTATGGAAAGCAACTAAATACTGACAATACTGATCTCTGGAATTGCACAGAAAAATGACACACGTTTAGAGAAATGTTGCGTAAACTTTTGTAACCCACTGAACCACGATCATGGACATGGGGAATATTTGCTACATTAGAGTTCCATGTAATAATTCTCATTCTAATTTTGTATACTTTATTTTAAAAAAAATAAACAGAACTAAAATTATGTATCCTAGTATCGTTATACTGCAAAACAGCTCAGCTGCCTCTCCAGTTCCAATTAGAATTTACCTGTCAGAAATCCATCCATGTTTAATTCTCTTTGACACTGAAATATGCAGTAAACTACTGCTTTGCCTTAAAATAAATAAATAAATTCAGCTGCAGAAATCTCACTGAAGCTTCTCCTGGCCATGAGATTTAATCACAAGAGCTTGCTTTTAAACCAGATAAAAATCACACCAGGTGATCAAATTACACTGAGGTCTCTCAAAAGAATTTGAAAGACCCTACGTTTTATCTGAACTCACATGCTATATATCTTGAAACTATTCACAGAGTTGAAAAATTATTTTAAGTATAAGGTATATAATCCTACAAATAAATCCATACTCTTTGGAGAGAAACCATACACCTAAGGCTCACTGGCTTGAGTGTATGACAAGATATAGACAAAAGCAACAGAAAATAAATGTCTTTACTACTTGCTTGTGGTACCCTGAAACAATTTAAGACCTCCATTTCCTTAAGTTCCCTGTGACTTCCATAAAAGTAAAACCCCCAAATAACACTATTGCATGACTAATTTAAAGTTTCAGTTCATAAAAAAAAATAAAAAAATTAAATCTAATTTAACTGTACCATTAGGGAAAAAAGCAAGCCTTCTACTTGAAAAGCACAGAGGAACTACATACCTTTATTCTAATTTGTGTCACTTGAAATGAAGATTCAGTTCCAGTAGAAAGAATGATACTTGCTCTGGTCTTCCCAGTTTCAGTAAGAAAACCTAAAGCAGCAGTGGGAATGGAATGAGGTTGGAAGGACTGCTAGTGCAAGCTGTCTCAAAGAAAATACGACGATTGTGGACTAAAGGGGGGAAACAAAAGCACCATGCTTTTATGGTAAAATACTCATTAGGAAATGTTTCCAAATAAAAGAGTAAAAGACAGTAAAAAAAAAAATATTGTTTCACACTATTATGTGCTCCTACAGCAGACACTCAGGTGTCTCCAGCCAGTGTCTCTCCAGGGAATGCAACACCTACAGCTATTGCAAGAGCGTTTCCCCGCTGAAGTTTACTAGTAACTCCCAAATATTACTTTGACTTAGGGCTCTGTTCACTGATGGAACTCACTGTTCCTCAGTTCTATCCTAACAGCTTTCATTTACCAGTAGCACTCACTGCACAAGACAATACAAGATTTTTTTAAAAAAAAGATTAGGTCGAGAAACACAAATCTCTTTCTCTAGGTTCTATCCAGCACATAAAAACATTGCATTAACAAAGATAGGCTTTAAAGGAGAATTAATAGTAATGCGCAGTCTGTGAAAATTTCAGTGATTTCTACCATATCTCTCCATCAATATTTGGGAAATTAGCAGTGAATGATTCACAGTTTCAACTCACAAAACATGCTCTAGTATAATTTACTTTGTGACAGCTCATTGCTCACTACCATGTAGAACATAAATAATTCTCCCCAAAACTCAATCTTTTGTTTGTTTTGACAGTAAACTGGTTCTTGAGAAATTCACCTTGCTGTAAAATAGAATTTACATGTTATTTTGGTTTGGTTTTAATTAAAGATCTTCCATACCATAAAACTGTCAAGTAGTACCAAATACATATGCTACAGCACCTTGTTAGCAGCCTTTGTGTCTGGTTGAATATTCTGGATTTTAAGTCCTGGACTTACCATCCCCAGTCCATGGCTCTACAAGGAGGTTTTCAGGCCCTGATTTATCTTCTTTTCCCTTTACATCACATGCTTGCAAAGTTAGTCGTAATAGTTTTCCTAAGTAAGAAAATCAACAGGTTTATCGAATTCTTAAAATGGAAAGCCCATTTTCCAGTTTTAAGTTCTTCACACAGAAAACAAATGAAAACAATTACAACACTATGAGATTTTTAACATTGTCAAATAGAAAAAGGGGGAAGAAACTGAAGTATAAGACACACATTAATCTAAAATAGCTCGAGTTTTAGATACAGACAGAAGGACAATGAAAATCATGACGACTAATGTTCCATCAACTGTTTGCACACTTTGCAATTCACAATACATGAAATACCACTCTTGTCTTGCAAAAAGCAGCAGCTACTCTGGGAAAAACGAAGCAATTTTCAAAACATTTGAAACTAAATACTGATACCATAATTATAAAATAATGAATGTATTCTTTGGCACAACACAAGAAGCCCTGTCTTCCTGACAGACTAATGATAATCTCAGAAGTTGACACCCAAGAAAACAGATTTATCAAACAAGTCCAGTAGATACAGCAAAATCTTACTGCCTTATGTCAGACCATAAAGAGCTCTACGCTTCTGATGTACTCAGATTAATTTATAAAAGTGAACATAAAAGAGGTGTAAATTGATGCTAATGACATTACATTTGAAACATCTCAAATTTGTGCGCGTGTCTGCAAAAGAGACCACTTACTGAGACTAAACATACAAAAAAAGTATATTATTGGAAGAATGAAAATACTGGATGTCATTTGCCTTTTATACAATACAAACACTATCACCATCTTGATCTAGGGGCCCAAAGTTACTATTTTCTCCCTCAAGATGATCTACCTGGTTTAATTCTTAGATCACAGAAAGCCAATCACCAACTTTTAGGGTAGTCCATCTTCACAGGCTGTATTAATTTAGAAGTCTTGTATAATTTTAAACCCCAGCAGAACAAGTAAAACAACTCAAAGCTGCATATTGTCTTAAGTACGTACATTAAAGGATCCAGCAATCATTCATTTACCGTATTTATACAGCAGGTTCTGTCTAACTGTTGCCATGGAAGCAATAAGGGATGAAGCCTTGTACGGAGTGTCCAGATGATCGGTGATTGTACAGAGGGAACTTATCACTTTAGCAACACTCCCCCTGGCCAAGGCAAAGGCCAAGAGTGTAAGTTCAACCTCCGGAGTAGTACAACAACTGGGGAGGGAAAAAACCAACAGTGTGAAAATAAAACTCAGGACAATTTGTTTTTAAATAAAGTCAAATAACACTCACACAGGAAAAGAAACCTAAGGTGCCTGTTTCTTAATGTCTTTGAATTTTTCAAGACACTAAAAAAGAGCAGGTGAGTAAAAATGAGATACGGTTGCTATACAAATTCTTCTAAACCATTCTGCACTACAACAAATTACCTCAACGCAATCTCACCTTGTTATTCTTATAAGGAAGCTATCAACTTCTTCCAAAACATTTGGAGATAAGAAGCTTGAAAACTCTGTAGAGCCCGGTGTTAGGGATAGAGGTGGCATGTGTTGCAGTGCTTTCCTAGTAAAATGGACAGGATATAACATCAGAAAACCAGACAGAATCAGAGAAAACAGCCTTCTAGAGTGAATTAGACATTTGAATGATCGTGCTTTTTATGAGTAGGTCTCTACAAATACATTCTGAATGCAGAAAATCTATTTACACAGAGAATCTGTTCAAAAGGTAAAAAAAACAGTATTGCATTCTAGGTGGGGAAAGTTCAACGACTGGGAGGTAATCTTGAATCTCAGTCTCATCATCTCAGATTTAATGAGACAAATAAATCAAGGGGTTTTGAATTAAATCTGTGACAGCACTAGAAATAGCTTAATGTGCAAGTACTGCTTCGTTTTAAATAGTTCTAGAATTGAGCAAAAGCCCATCAATAAAGGGAAAATTGCTTTTAAATTCCTTCAGAACAATTACAAAAACCAAGAGAGAAACTTGTTAGCTCAGGTCAGAATTTTTGTTTCATTTCCTAAGATAACATAATAACCTCTGAAAATAGGAATTCTGAAATGGTTTCATCAAAGTAATTCTATCCAATACTAGAGTTTGGGTTTTTGCTTTGTAATTCCAAACACTGAATTTATAATTCCTGAAAGCATATTTTTAGTCAAGATTTCTCCATTATCACTTGTTTAGGCTTTACTAGCTCAGTATTCATGTTGTATTTCTAAAAAATATCTAAATTGTAGCAAAACTGAATGCCCTCAGTTTTAGTAAAACTTGGAACTATGAACCCTCCTCAGACATAAGCACATAGAAAGTTACGTAAACTTTAAAGAGGTTTCACAGATGATACAAATTAAGATAGGCTTACAGGACTTTAACCTACAGTATTCATTAACCTAATGACAGCAGCACTCTTAAGCACGGTGGCATCATGCTAACTAAGCTCTATAAAAGTTGATGTGGGTGTGTGGCAATTTTATTAGGATTCCAGTCCTTCAAGTCATCAAGCAGAAGTGTTTGGCACTGAAACAAGGAAACGTTACACAGAAAACGGCCAACCACCACAAGCAGACATCTGCACAGAGGTACTGCACATACCCGACTACATCCCCACGTAACACATGACAAGGCCTTACACAAGCAAAAGTTTTCTGAAAATTAATCTAAATTAAACTCCAGTCATAAGTGGAAGGTGTCCAATATTTATAATCAATAAAATAAGGAAAATTAATTAATTTTAGGTTTCCTGAAATTATTACAAGTCAAAGGATAAGTAAAAATGTGTTTTTCAGTGTCTGTTCAAATCTTGGTGTAACAACTAGATTAGATAAAACAGCTAGGAGAATTACACTTGTTTTGGTATGTGCAAATGGATAAAAGAGAAATATCAAAAATTTAATCAGTGTGACAGCTAAAAAGATGTTTAAACACTTTAATGGAGGGAGTGGAAACCAGTTACACAAGGTAGATCAGTTTACTAAAGCTGGAAGTACTAAAAAAATAATTAAAAATAAAATAAAGTCACACGTCCCGGAAGTTTGGTACTTACTGAGTATTTTGTAAAATAGTGTGAACGAATGCGGGATTTGTTTCCATGGAAGCTGTTACGAGGGAGGTCAGCAGAGACCAGTACCAGATAGCGGAAGCATCGCACACAGAGACGCCCACCTTCTTAACTCTTTGATAACCAACGGCCCTGAGTCCATGGATTCTAGTGTCACATCCATCACTAAGGCAACGCTTGATGTTTATCTGTACATCTGTCAAAACACAAAACAGATTTTTTTTTTCCCATTTCTTCTGCTGGATTAGATCTAGAAAAATCCAGATATTCAAAATAATAATTACCGTAAAACATCTCAGAAAAATAGCAGCAGAAATGTAACAGTACTCCCACGTATAGACAACTATACACATGTATTTCTTCACCATGCAACCCTATGATTTTGAAAATTTAGCCTTGAATGAATGTGATCCATTACATATTGAACAGCTAGAAATTAGGAAAAAAGTAGTAAAAGACCCTCGAAGAGGAAAATATAGATTATTTCACCAATACCTTTTTACCTATGTACACAGGAAGTATCTTGGAAGAGGTAGTGGATAGGGAAAAAGAGTAAAGCCTAAAAGCAAATTTTTAAGTTACATAAAAATATTCTCATAAGTTCTTGACCATTTTGCATAGCTAACATTGTCCTAGTTACTTTTGAGGAATGACGTCTTTGCTGCCCGCTTCTGTTCAGCTTAGTGGAAAGTGCCTATTTGAACTGAAGGGACAAAACTTCTGAAGCTGCACAAACCATCTTCGGAAGGAGCAGCTTTCTTCTGAGTGGTTCCAATATAGCACCCACAGATCTACCAGACTTAAAAATAACACTGCTTAAAAATCCTTAGCATAAAACTGACTTTACAAAAATCATCTGATCAACTTCAGAGTTTTGCTACTCAAAAAAAGAGTTGCTCAGAAGCACATTTTTTGCTAGATACTATTATCCAACATATGCTTTTGCTCTGCAAGCAAAGACATTTTATAATTGCCCAGTACCTTCAAACTGAGAGGCTAAAACTGCATCTTTGGTCATTCTAGCTCTTCAGCCCTTAGCCCAAGTGAGATGACATGATAAAGACTCAGAAGACACTTTTAGGCTGGATATTACACTACTATTAAAACATTAAGGACAAAGTTAAAAGTTTCTGCTCTGATGACTGAAATTTAACACATCATTCTATGATCTATCCAACCTTTCACCTTCAAAAATGCAACAAAGCAATATACCAATGGTATCTTTATTGACTCACACATCTGACTAATGTTAGCGTTTTCCAACAGTGTTACGTAGCCAGTGATATTGCTGGGAATGTGAACGTCTCGGACCTCCTGAAGACTGCTGGCATTCCTTCCCACTGCCACCGTAACTTGCTGTGGCATGTAACTCTGGTCATTGGCTGCCACCGCAATGGACAGATGTCTCAAAACAACATCTGGTTTCATCTTTAAACTGCAAAGCAAAGAAGATAAAACACATCTTGCAAAGAGAAGTCAAGCACTTCACTTTCAGCTAAGCTTCACTCATTTTCCACTTCTACAAACACAAATAAACCCAGTGGAAATCAGCTAATGCTTCACAGGTGTTATCAACCCCGTATCATGGTGGACAAGTTAGAAAACTTGTAATTGACTTAAAAAGACAGTCACCTCGGATAGCGAGACTGTACAACTTTCTATTGTTAGCTTTTCAACTGAGAATTCATTCCTCAAGAATAAAAATGTAGTGTCAATAATGACCAAAATGAGATTTTTTTTTTTTAAAGTAGACATTCTTAGATCTACTACCGAAAAAAAACACTAAACATTTCTGTTTCATGAAGCAGTAACTTTCTAGACACCGGCAAGGCGCTTCTATTCAAGTACTAGCCACTGCATCTGTCATTCAGTTGAGAAAGCTTAGCTACAAAACAAGGGCATGTGACAGCATGGAAGATGCATGCGTTTTACAGGTGAACGCTTTTAATTGGTGATTAGGCCTTTAAACCTCATGCAGAAATTAATGACTTCTGCTTTCAACTATATTCATCTGTCACTCATTAATGCACCAATTTTTTTCAGTTGCACCCCACTGGTTGTAAAACCTAAGGACTAACTGCCCCAAAACTCAGCTGTGCATTGCTGTGTCACTCACCGTATCCAATGTGAGCGAGCACTCCCATCCGACTGCCAGAAGGATGTGGTTTCTCCATTTGTCATCTTATCAATATCAGCAGAATTGGACGAGGTTTCTATGTGAGTGTAGCACTTTGTGACAGACTTCAGTTTGTCCAGCTCCTGATTACTATTCAAGTCACTGGGGTATTCTGCAAAGAAAAGAAATCACTCCTACTATTCTTCTTTTGCTTGTTTTGAGAATTGTTATACCTTTATAATAACTATCTCGTATAAAAAAAACTTGTTGGCACAGAACACAGCTCCCGAAGAAGTGTTTCTGCCAGAAACTAGAAACAGCAAAGTTTCATTCCAGATGAAATCACAATACTCTCAACCTACTACTTGCAGTAGGAAAACACCTACTTTGTCTGGAGTTCAATAGCCTTCATCTCCTCCTTTCATTACTGGCCTCATCAGTGCTTTATTATTATTATGCCAAAATACAAACAGATGAGAGGAAAAAGTAAGAAACCTCAATTCAGCTATTCTAGGGAAGGGACAAAGCAGACTGTTTCCCCAAGTAACTCGATCTGTTTCAACAGAAGTGCAGAGATCTCAAAATATCAAGTCAAGTTGTGAAGAAAAGGAGCCCTCCCTCTAGGGAGACCACCAGGACAGTCCCATCTCACATACAATGAAAGATTCACTACCTCCACCCCAAAACAATAAATTATTTTTTAATACTGAACACTCAGCTTCAGAAAACATTCACCTTCACATGGAAACTAAGTTTCCAGCAACTAGTAGAGATATTTGACTGAATAGAGAATATTGTAAATTAGTAAACATCATTCTGAAACAGGTCAGGAGAAAGATGAAAAACATCCCAGATTGCCAGGCAGTTAGGAAATCAATTTATGTGCCTCAGAAAAACCTCACATAAATATGCAGATCAACTTCAGATCAACTGTTAAAGATTGAACAGAAAAGAAAGTTTTTTATTTTATCTTCAAGCTATGGTTACGTTACCATCCTGAAAGAAAAAAGATACTACATACCTCTCTCTTTTAGAAGAAGTCGATCTAAAGAATCCTTCAGCACAGAAGACCGCATAGTACAGATATTGTTGAAGTACTCCAACACTGGGTAAGGGATGGCAGTACTAGAAATCCGATTCCGGTGCAAGAATCTCAGTATCATTGAGGCATGAAGACCAAGACGCTCTTTCGATTCAGAAAATATATCAATAAAACCTAGAAAGAGACATTATTTTTATCTTTGTTGCAACATCTGACTTGACCAAGCCATCATTTTCCCCCTGTACATCTTATTGCTAGGTGAATCCAAGTTAAACATGGGAGCCAATATTGGAACCACGTTCCACCATACGAAGCAGCTCAAGTTTGCAACCTTTACAGCAGGACTGTGAAAGGTGCAGCCAAATATTTTTGCCAGTTACTTGAAATGCCTGAAGGTGTTCAAAGCAATTACCAAAAATCTTAGTTCTTACGCTTATTTTGTTGTTCCAAAAGTTCCAAACTCTTACCTTTGATATCTAGGTGAAACAGATGCTGCTGGGCTAGCGAGCCGATGTAATCACATCACTCACCTCCAGCTACGTTAAGAATCTCACTTTGGCATTGTGGATTATTCCCAAAGAGATGCCTAATGGATTCCACCAACTTCCTAAGAAATTTCAGCTCCTGAACAGCGGTACTCAGAGTCACAGTGCATTTAGATGCACAGAATACTACCCCATAAGTAATCTCCTCTGACTTACCTATTAGCTAATTCTAACACTTCTTGTCTGATCCTCTAAGGCAAATCCCCTTTAGCCACTTATCATCAAAAGCTTGGAAGGAAAGCCAGTAACTGATACTTATCCCAGAAATCAAATTCTGGGAGCTGACACTTTCCAAACTATATGCTGTAAAACATGAACTATGTTTTAGCAGGATTTCAAATGCTAAGTAACAATATAATAATAATAATAATAAAGTATATGACTCATCACCTGAAACAGACTCAATGGAGGATTTATTCCCCCAGTGACCAAGTACCAAACTGTATTAGGCACTCACCAAAGTTTTGCAAGGAACCGTTTTCTGTCTGTGAGATAAACCAAACAAGAAGCTCCCCAATCACACACAGAAGAAAATATTGGTTATTTACAAAAGTACGTTAGCTGGATGTAATTATGGGAAGTTTTTAATTTACAACAACCTCACTTGTTTGATACTAGAGAAGTGAGAATGACTTGGACTATGGTTTTGAGAAGATTAGGAGAGACAACACTGTTAAAGCAATTTATTGAAGCAGCACTCCTTATACGGGGGTAGGACTTGGGAAACCATTTGTGTTGTCACTCTGTTCTCATACCTGGAACTAGTGAACAAGCTTGCAGTTGCCTGATGACATGGCTAAGCTCCCCTTGAAGATTAGCTCCACTGGAATTCTTGAGAGCCTCCAGCATATTCTCCACATCTACTGTGCCATCTCCTTCAGCATCAAATTGTGCAAAGGCCTGAAGAGGAACAAAAAAAAGAAAATTTCAGCATATTTACTTCAAGCAAAAATTCAAGGTATTTCATAGAAACTGTAGCAGTAAACATTATAACACCATTAAATAAAAACCAAATGAATCCTTTTTGCACACTATTGAATTCATGATAACAGGAAACAGCCTGGCTGGAAATCTGCAGTCTTTAGCAAGTTTTAAGGCATTTGCACTGACTTCCTATGAAAGCCAACAGTAGTTATGCTTAGGTGGAGACAGCACATCATCTATACCAGTGCATCAGCAGTATCCATCCACCGACACCTGGGGCTGTGAGGAAGGTGCTCACAGAACACTAAAAAGTTCTTCCATTAAAGGGTGAGTTCGTTCTGAAGGCCATACCATCCGTGACTCATTACTGCTGCATCCATCCAAATTCTTTCAGGTTCTAAATATTTTCTTTATTTAAAAAAGCATCCTTAGAACCAGAATATTTTTTAAATGTGTTTCCTTCCATATACTGTCCCCCTTCACAAAATACCAGTTTAACATAGTTTGTCAAAATATTTGTGAGAACAATGGAGAGTTAGAAAAGATTTTTTTTCTTATTGAAGGGAACCATTGCCAGCTTTATTAACTTTGACCTTAATATAATTTTTTATTAGAGAAAGTTGTGTTCAGCATGTATAAAGTAACTCGCACAGCTACGTATTTCACATCTTTGTACTAACAAAAGTACAAGATATTTTTATTCAGCTAAGCCTATAAACCAGAACCAAGCTCATAAACGTAAAATTTTTTAACTAGCCACTTCAGAGAACTCACGATCCAGCGACACACTACTATTAAAAAAACCCTAGCTATATTTTCACAATCATATTTAATTTTGAAACAAATTTCTGTTTAATTGCTAAAAAAAAAAAGTACCCCAAAAAGAAATGCAGTATGTCATCCCTTTTTTTTTTTTCCCCCCATACAAATTGGGAATATGCTTACAAAAGATATTTCTTAACAAGCAAGACTTCAGTCCCCCAGCCCTGAACTTGGTATTTCAAGTTCAGCTACATAGCCAAGGAAATTTGGCTCATTAGAACAGAACATTTCAGAGAGTCAAGAAATCACTGCTGTTTGGGAGGAAGCTTGTGCTTGAATCTCTTGGTTTGCTACCCGATATCAAACTTGATGTGCCATTCAAGGTACTATCCTAGAGAGAAATAATCTAGAATGACTAGATCAAAATAACCTGCCAATTAACCATGACATAATTACACCACTTAAATGAGAGCAAAGTCCTCAGAAGACAACAGAATGGAAATGCCGTACTTTAGCTGACTAAAGCTCCAACGGCACTTCTGCGGCACAGAGCTGGATTTTAGCTTAGCAGTTCTATAAACATTTGTTTATAAACGTTCGTACAGCTGAACCCATGCTAACAACGATCATCTTTAAAAAAAATTATTCTTAACAGCAAAGAGGACTGGTGCTGGGCATCCAGAAGGTACCACAGCCAGTACAGATGGGCGATGCTGGGCATCAGGTAGACACCCAAGCAAAATACTAAGACTTTTGCTTGAGGACAACACCACAAAGGGAATTAATTTTAACAAACTCAGTTGCGAAAACAACTCAATGTACAGTTTTGTACCACACCATTCTTGCCTTTATGTGTAACTACTATATTATGAAGTGAGTAAGTTTTATGATGTTACTAGTGAAAACAAACCACACACAAGACTACAAGGCTGGATCTGCTGATAGATACATTAAAGTATAAGAAATTAGTTTAAAGTAAGGAGAGATTACCACAGATATGCTTTTTTTTGCATCTTAATGCAGTATTTTGTTGGTTTATTTTTAAACTATGATGTCAGGAGATTGCAGCGATCCTAGAAGTCTACACTTAATTTTTGACTGTTCAGTATAACTTAAACTCTGTATTTGACACAAAACATACACAATTTCCTCTGCTCAGACAAGCTGCCCTGTTCAACAGGGCTGTAAGCAAAAATAAAAAAAAATTAGTATGCAAACCTGTACTCAGAGCTTTTGAGTTGTGTTCACAACTGGGACATGATACAAATGCAGTAGCAGTTTTACCACAACCCAGCTCCATTCTGCTCCTTAATAAAAGCATCCACACACTTCCTACCCAGTTCAACCCTGAACACGCAGAAACATGAAAGAAACATCTCTCCTGGAAAATGACGACTAAGGTGATCGCTAGGAAACACAGCCCATGGAAAAATCACCCCTTATCTCAGAGCCAGCTCAGGGGCTGGACAGCATGACAGAACAGCTGAAGTGGGACTTGGGAAAATGCTGTATTTCATCCTGCGCGCCCAGTAGAACTGCAGCATTAATGTTTCAAGCGAAAGCTGGATATGTTACATGACAGCTGCTGAAGCACTAATGAATAAAAAAGGAGCCAGAGGTTCAGTTTATCTAGAAAATAGATTTTGCATTTAAACAGAGGTTCATTTAGTCCATAAAAAGTCCATGCAAAGTACGTGTGGGGTTCACAAGCCCCACACTGAGAACAGAAAAACTTCATGGACAGATCAAAACTTAGTCTATGTCAGACAGGATTCTGTAAACATTAAAAAGTGAAACCTGTTGACCTGCCACCCACAAACCAACTTCTCATCAGTGTATAACACACCCTGGAAATCTAAAATACTACAGCCCCTGGGCTAGTGCCAGTTATAGAAACAATGACATCAAGGTTTTCCACACAACTCCCACCATCTCGACTTTGCAGGAAAGACTAGATATGACCACATATCTGTACCATGATAAATCCTTTGACGAGTTTTTTCCCCCTGCTTTCAAGAGCAGGGGGGAAAAAAAAAAAATCCTCTTCATGCTGAGGAGGATGTGCCATACAGACAATCCTCAAAATATTTCTGCAGCCTGCAAAGCTCAGTTGCTTGTATTAACAGAAAGAACCCTGAAGTACTAATTTCACTCTTACTGTAGATAGAAATGAAGAAGTGTTCTTTATTGGCTCTTGTAAAGGAACTAGAAACGGAGGCAGCATTTTAGCAAGCTACTTAAAACAGTCCAGTATAAACATACCTACTGGTACAACAAAATTAACCTCTTTCCAGTTTCCCGGAGTTTTGTTAACATGGCAGCACTGACTTCAAGGAGCGTATGCGTGATTTAACAGCTTACCAAGTTATTCTACTACTCCGGAGCAACACAAAGGCAGAAGGAGGTCACTGGTGAGGCTGAGCAACTGCATGCAGTAAGCGATTCAGACACAACCACTTTCTCAACCGAGTGTGAAATTCCCAACAGGGTATTCTACTGCATTTTAAATGCTAGCTAGAGAGTAAAGCTAAAGCTCAAACGTTCTAGATGTTAAGTTCTCCACATCCCTTCCCACAGCAGAAAGAAAACGGTACTCTCTTCTACCCTTAAAACCTTGCCTTAAGGCCTTCTGTCTGTGGAGGGGGAACTCTGTTACACTACTTTCTTACAAGTTTTCCAAAACTCTTACTTTACAATACCTAACACGACATCAGTGAGATACTTGACAACTTCACTGCTGATTTGGAAAAGCAACAATAAAATTAAGTCTGGTGAAGTTAGACTTGCTGATACCATTAAGAAGTCTCCCAGAGGAATTATTTGCACAGAATTTCCTATCTGTGCTAGCTGCGCTACCGGTGGCAACACCAGAAATATTGTTCTAAATAACCATTTTAGTCACAAGCGGCTGCTGAGCACAACCGCTGAAAACAGGCATAAATTAAAA